GTCTACAGAGCAAGTTCCAGGACAGCCAGGGCTACACAGAGAAAGCCTGTCTCAAAAAAACCAAATATGTGTGTGTGTGTGTGTGTGTGTGTGCACATGCACATGTGTGAGTATGAATGGGCTAATTTAAGTGGTTATAAGAGCTAGTTGAGAACAAGCCTAAGCTAAGGCCAAGCATTCATAATTAATAAGTTTCCACATCATTATTTGGGAACTGAAAGTAAAAAGAAAGTCCAGCTACATTGGTGGCTTTGCTGAACTTATTGTGGAGTACAGTCCTTAGGATGTACAAAAGGCTATAGTGGATCTGAGTGGCTTAGATGGCATTGAAATTGCATTTGTTAGATGCTAAAGTAGTCAGGAGGGAGTTAGAATGGGAGAGACCAGATAAAGGAGTCTGTCTGTGTCATTCAAGAGTAAATGGGCAAGATTTGTGTCAATCCAGAGTTCCTATGGAAATATTTGATAGAAAGCCAATTATTATGATTACAAGCTTCTGGAAGGTTTTAAAGCCCAAATAACAGTCCACTAAAGAGGTAGAAGAGGTACAGGGTATTCTTCCTGTGTCTGCTGCTGTGATGGAAGGAAATATTATGAGGTAGCCACTACCCTAGCTACTTCCCTAACAGGGTTGCCAAGGCTACCTACTGTTGAAGACCAGGCAGGATTCTCCTACTAAATCATGGGATTGTTGGTCCTCTGTTATTGTGAAAAAATTTGTCCATGGGTAGGTGGCAGATGTGCCTGGTGGCCCTCAGGAGCATTGGGAACAACAGACACCTGGGATAAAGATAGAGACACGATAAGATGGGACTGGTGAAAAGGGGTGAGATTAGTCTAGGGCAGTGGTTCTTAAATTTCCTAATGCTGCAACCCTTTAATACAGTTCTTCATGTTGTGTTGACCCACAACCATAAAATCATTTTTGTTGCTACTTCATATCTGTCACTTCGCTACTGTTAAGAATATACAGATATACAAGATATACAAGATATCTGATATGTAATTCCCCAGAGGGGATGTGAGCTACACGTTGATAACCACTGATCTAAGGTGAGCAGTTATCAGCCAAGGGAATTCTGTGTACATGTCTCCACTGTGAGAAGTATGAGGTGTGGCTAGAGACTGTTTTCCTATTCTAGGGACTGTTCAGCATACAGGGGAGGCCTCTGAGGTTTCTTCCATTGCTGTGAGAAAATACATTACAAAACTTAAGGCGAGAAAGGTTTGTATGAATCACAGTTCAAGGACAAAGACCCCTGTGGTAGGGAAAGCATGGTGGCAAGAATGTGAGACAAACGGTCATGTTACATCCTCAATCAAGAAGCAAAGAATTGGGAGGGGGGAGTTGCTGGTGCTCAGCTTGCTTTCTCTTAGTCTGGAACCCCAGACCACGGAACAGTGTTATCTAAATTTAGAATGATAGTCCCAATCCAATTAACCCAATCTAGAAATTCCTTCACAGTCATGTCCAGAGGATTATTTGCTAGGTAATTCCAGATCCAATCAAGTTGACAATCAAATCATTACAGGGGCTAGAAAGATGGTTTGCTAGGCTAACCTAACAACCCAAGTTTGATCCCAGGAACCCACAATGTAAGAAGAGACATAACTCCTCCCAAAAGTTGGTTACATTCCAGAACTAAATGGTAAGATGTATTGGTTGCAGGATATGGAGAAGTCAGGCTGGAACAACTGAAAAGCCCCTTCTTTACTATCTAGTATGATGCCTGGGAAAGAATTGTTGTTATGGTCTGGTTCATCTGTAGATGTGATGTATTCATGCCATCAGCATGCCAAGAGGCACTCGCTGGCACAATATTAGCACAACTGTTACAATTGCAACCAATGATTTTCCATTTGGAATTAAGGCCACCCCTCAGTAGGGAACACATGTTGAGTATTTTAAACTGGGGCAAAACCTGTGCCTAGTAAGTTCATAGATTGGAGTGGGGAAGCCACTGCTGTTGTTTTGCTGAATGGATATAATGCGACAGTCAAATGCCTTCCAAATATTTACATTTGCCCATGGATTGTTGCTGCTGCCAACCTTGGTCCAGAAAGCTTCTTTTTGTAGTATAGTGGTGATTGTAGGGACTCCTAGCTGGTCAGAGTGCTCAGAATAAGTGACAGTTGTAGTGACAAAGCAGTCCACATCTCAGCCTTAGATGGGGAAGTAAAGTATCAAACATCTGCCTAGGCAGTGGTGGCTCACGCCTCTAATCCCAGTGCTCAGGAGACAGGCAAGAAGAGCTCTTAGTTTGAGGCCAATCTGGTCTACAGAGCAAGTTCCAGGATAGCCAAGGCTACACAGAGAAACCCTGTCTCAAAACACACACACACACACACACACACCCACACACACACACACACACACACCCACACACACACACACACACACACACACACACACACACGAAAGAAAGAAGGAAGGAAGGAAGGAAGGAAGGAAGGAAGGAAGGAACGAAGGAAGAAAGAAAGAAAAAAATGTTCCTCAGGGAACATTGCAGAAGAGTGGGTAGAAAGAATGTAAGAGCCAGAGAAAAGGCCAGAGTGTTACGAGCAGAGCATGGCTGCTGTCATCTAATTAGAGTAGCTGAGATAACTTCCCCCAGACTCTCAAAGTTTGGGCGCACTTGCATCCTATCATGGAGATGGGGGGAGGTCTTGGAAGCTCATGAGTTCCACGAAGCTACTTCCTTCCCCGAGGGATATAAATGCTTAACGCATGCTGGGGAGGTCTCTTCTATGGTAGTAGCTGCCTGTAACTTGCCCATGTTCCTACACAAACTCATCATTCATGCTCCTGTAAATAATTCCAATTAAACTCTGTGTTCTAACTAGATACACCTTTTTTAAAGTGTGTGTGTGTGTGTGTGTGTGTGTGTGTGTGTGTGTGTGAGTGCACACGCTCGCCCACGCATGCACCCACAAAAGATCAGAAGAGGGTTCAGAAACCCTGGAACTGGAGTCACAGACAGTTGAGAGCTGCCATGTACATTCTGGGGACCAAACCCGGCTCCTCTGCAAGAAAACCAGTTGCTCTTAACCACTGGGCGATCTATCCAGCACATTTCTTTTTCTTTCTTTTCTTTTCTTTCTTTTTTTTTTTTTTTTGAGATAGGGTCTCACTATGCTTTACATGGCCATGCATATTAGATGTGATGCAGGATGTTCTTCTGTATATATATATATTTCTCTTATTGGTTGATGAATAAAATACTGTCTGGCTGGGCTGGAGAGATGGCTCAGAGGTTAAGAGCACTGACTGCTCTTCCAGAGGTCCTAAGTTCAATTCCCAGCAACCACATGGTGGCTCACAATTATCTGTAATGAGATCTGGTGCCCTCTTCTGGAGTGTGGGCATACATGGAGGCAGAATGTTATATACATGATAAATAAATAAAATCTTAAAAAAAAAAAAGATAGAGGCCTCTCAGTGAATATTGCAGCGGCCTCAAATTAAAAAAAAAAAATACTGTCTGGCCAATGAGGCATGAAGATAGGTAGGAATAGGAGATGAGGAGAATTCTGGGAAAGGTAGGCAGGATGAGCCCGCCAAGCACAGTCGCCAGGTAGACCACAAAGGAGTAAGAGGTCTGGATCCTTCTCCAGTAAGCTAAGACCACGTGGAAATACTTAGATTAATAGAAATGGGTTAATAATTAAGACAGAGCTAGCCAATAAGAAGCCTTAGTCATCAACCAATAGTTTAATAAATAATATAGCCTCTGTGTGTTTATTTGGGGCCGAGAAGGGTGGCAGGACCCATGTGGACAAGAACCTCCGCAACATAGATGCCTTCCAAGTCATGTCCCCTTCTTTAGTGCTCACAGAGACCTCTCACCTCTGCAGTACCATCATAACCCACATGATTCCACATACACCCCCTGGATCCAACAAGGAAAGAAACAACATAGTAGAAACTTCAGTGCCCAGGAGAAAATTCTTCCTCACTCTCTGGCCTTGAGAAAGCCACCTTACCTTTCTGAGCCTCAGATTTTTCAAACGGAAATGAAAATGCCCACCATATCAATGGCTGCCAGAGAGCAGGGTGGTGTGTACTGTAATCATTGTCTAATGGACCCCGTGTCCCTCTCTGAAGCAAAAGAAAGTGAAGAAGTAAAGATAACAGCACTGTGGACACTGTCCCATTATTCATTGCACACTTAGCCTCACCACAGTATAACATTTGCTCTTTCATGGCCAAGATCAACAGTGAAAGGAAATTGGGATAATACTGATCCTGAGATAGTTGGAACACAGAAAGTTCACAGAACACACAAGCTTTCTCATGCTCCCCATTGTCAGCTTTGCCCAGGGACTTCCCTGGGCATCTTGTGAAAATCCTGAGGACAAAGCCATATGAACCCTTAGTGGATCTTCCCTGCCAGTAAGAGTGACACCCACTGGGGTCAGGGCTGCTAAGTTAATAGATGAGGAAATCAGGTACAAACAGCATCCAGATGGAAACAACTCAGCTAGACTGGCTGGCCAGCAAGCCCCAGGGATCTGCTTGATTCCACCCTTGCAGCCTGGAGTTACAGGTCCCCATGCTTGCATAGCAAGCACGCTACCTGGAGCCATTTCCCCAGCCCACACTTGAAAAATCCCACACACCCACACTGCACATCCTAAAATGTCTGTTGGTTTTCAGTGTGTATTTGAAATAACAGGCTGACAGGTGATTGTTTACTTGTGGCTTGGCTGCACTATTGAAAAGTTCAAAGGGCTTTGAAGGATATTTTGTTATAGGACTCTTCTAAGGAAGAGTATCAAATCCATGTCAAGGAAGTGGTATGAGGAAATCTCATCTGGGCATCCACAGTGTGCCCCATCTGGACTGATTTCCTAATCTGTCAACAAGAAATCTACTTTGTGTCAAAGGGCCTTTTTAAAAATGTGGGATCACAAACTGGCCAGACAGCTCAGCCAGTAAGTTGCTTGTCATGCAAGGAAGAACAAGAATATAAGTTATATCTCCAGAACTCAGAACTCACACTGTAAAATGCTGGTATTGATGATGAGTGCTCATCATCCCAGTCCTGGGGAGGCAGAAACAGACAGATTCCTGAGACTTGATGGCTGGTCAGCTGAGCCCAATCTTAAAGCTCCAGGACAATGAGAAGCACTATCTATAAAAGAAAAGGTGGATGACTCATTAGGAATGACACCAGAAGATGTCCTCTGCCTCCACATGTACACACCGTATGCACCTGTACACACACATATGCACCTCTGAGCATGCATGCACATTCGTGTGTGCAGGTGTGTGCAAGCAAGTGTGCACATACACACACACACCGATTTTTTTTTTAAGAAGCAGCAGAAGACAATGACAAGCAGAAGTAGCTGTGGTTCAGGGAGGAGTTGTGGGAAAATGTTTTTGTACACTGTGAAGATGTGTCTCTTCTAAGGTTACCTTCTGATTGGCTTAATAAAGAACTGAACAGCCAATAACTAGGCAAGAGAGGTAAGGCAGGACTTCCAGGGAGAGAGAGGAACTGGGGGAAGAATCTGAGAGATGGGGAATTTGCCAGCCAGACATTGTGGGTTTAGGATGCACAGTACTGATCAGAAGTAATAAGCCACCTGGCAGAATGTAGGTTAATATAAACAGGTTAAGTTAAAAGAACTAGCTGGGGCCGGGCATTGGTGGCGCACGCCTTTAAAGAGGAAGAGGAAGAGGAAGAGGAAGAGGAAGAGGAAGAGGAAGAGGAAGAGGAAGAGGAAGAGGAAGAGGAAGAGGAAGAGGAAGAGGAAGAGGAAGAGGAAGAGGAAGAGGAAGAGGAAGAGGAAGAGGAAGAGGAAGAGGAAGAGGAAGAGGAAGAGGAAGAGGAAGAGGAAGAGGAAGAGGAAGAAGAAAAAGAGAGCTAGTTGGGAGCTAGCTAAGGCCAAGCTTTCATACTTAATAATAAGTCTCTGTGTCATTATCTGGGAGCTGGCAGTCCAAAGAAAGTCCTGCTGCAGAGGTGGCATGAAGCACCCTCAGGTCACCAGGAACCTGGCATCCTGGCATCTGATGCAAGCCCCACAAAGGGTATCAGAGCACCCTACTGCCTCTGACCATTTCAACCAAAGTCCAGGTGCTCCCCATTGGTTCTGATCCTCAGCAGGGTTACTGGGGTGGGAGGTCTGTGACATCCCTGGCTTGGTCCTCTCTTCCCTCTGTCCATATGGGGTGGGTACCGGCAAAAGGTTCTGTCTCTTGGAGGTCTCAGTGACTCTTCCCTGACTGGCTTGCAGCCAGAACAAAGGGAAAGAGAAATAAATGTTCCCTACATGAACCAAAGCTCAGGTCTCCATTGAATTATCCCCACTTAGTGACAAAGTTGTAGAGATATTTACAGAAGAGCTTAAGCTCCCTGTAGGCTGGGGTCTGGTCTACCTCACTCCTCAATGCATTCTGGGACCCTTAGAAACACACACTTAAACATCCATAAAGCTGAGAATGCAGAGTCTGATTGTCAGGTAACAGGTTTCTGGTTTACTAGGAACCCTTCTTCTTCTAGAGAAGCCATCTCCTGTGCTTGTCTCCTCCATTTGGTGTGGATGTCCCAAGGTGACTGTGTTCACTCACCTTTGAACAAAGTCTAACATTTGTTATTAATTTATCAGCTCATCCAGTGACTCTTTATTATGTGCCAGGCACCTTGACATGAAGGATCTATCAAGAAAACAATACAGGCCAAACTCAGCTAAAGTTTACTCCTCACAAGGTGTTCTGTGTGTCAGAAACTGTACCAGGAATTGGGGACCTGACAGTGGAGAGGGCAAAAAGGATGTCCTCGTTATTGTGTTCCCAGGGAGGTGAAAACCAGTACAAAGAGAACAATATGATAAATGGAATACTATAGACCATGACCGGGAAGTATCAGGGGCTTGGCTGGTGTGTGAAAGGTCATAATGTGATTATGTCACCTCTGTGGATTAAGCACGTTCCTTCCCCTGAAGTTCATGTGTCAAATCCTAATCACTCAAGTGACAACATTTGGAGGTGGAGTGTGTGAGAGGTGACCAGAAAATGAGGGCAGAACACCCATGAATAGGATCAGTGACCCTTCCACCACGTGAGAATAGAGCAAATAGTCAGCTGTTAAGATCGTGTGCTGCTCTTCCAGAGGACCTGAGTTAGGATCCCAGTACCCACGTAGTGCAGTTCACAACCACCTGAAACATTAGCTCCATAATTAAAAAAAAAAAAAAAAGGAAGTTTAGCTGGGCTGTGGTGGTACAAGCCTTTACTCCCAGCATTTGGGAGGCAGAGGCAGGAGGATCTCTGTGAGTGCCAGACCAGCCTGGTCTACAAGAGTGAGTTCCAGGACAGCCTCCAAAGCTACACAGAGAAACACTGTCTTGAAAAACAAACAAACAAAAAATATTTAAAAATAGAAGTTTAAAAAGAAGGAAAACCACCAGGCCCATATTTGAACTCAACTCTGCCATCCACCAGGACCATGTTTCCCCACGTGTTGGCCTCATTTCATGGAGCCATTGATAAGGACAAGATGGTATGAGAGAAGGTAGAGCTGGCAGAGTAAGGGAGGCCTCGAGGGAAACAGGCAAGTCTACCAATTTAGAAGTTCTTTAGGAACACAGCTGGCAGTGACCTGAGCTCATGAGGCACTCCTGAGCCTGATAGCAGTTGAAAGGAACAGCTCTGCCACACCCCACCCACATCCGCAACCCATCCCAGGCTTCCTGAGACACCTGGGACTAGTTCTGCAAGAACTGGTCTCCAGTATTCAGATGTCAATTAATATTAATGCTCAGATGAAGAACTTGAGCCATGCCCTTCCTGTCCCAGTTCCAAATGGTGCAAGAGACCCCCCCCCCACACACACACACACATTTCTCTGTGTCAGCCAAGGACACACATAGCCCTCTCCAACAACAGACGGATGAGCAACTCATGGTGCCTAGAAAATTGTCTTCACTCACATCCAATTAGTATTTGATGACCCATCCATTCAAGGAATACTCATCCTCAATGTACAGGGAGGGCTGGCCTCAGGCATAGAGATGGGGATACCATGAAGAGTTTGCTCATGCCATGCCTTGCTCTTTTCTTTTGTGTCTTTGGGAGTCTACATCATCACCAGTTCCCTCTTGGCTTACCTCCTTTCCTCTGCCTGTTTTTCATCCCTCAAGGCTAAACTGAAATCCATCTGCTTTTGGTCTCCTCACCCACTCACCCCACCTGAATTTGAGACCCTCTGTGTCATGTCCCACTCAGCTAACCACCACCTGTAGTTAGCTGTGCTCTGCATGGTGATCAGGGCCTCCTGATCTTCCTTTCTCTCTAAATTGCCCTTCCTGCAATAAACATTGGTCTTTTCCCATATAGACACATTACCAGCCGAGTGTTGTGAAATGTAGTTAAAGCTTGACAAGCAATTGGGGGCAGTTATTTTTAGTTGGGTTTTCCAATAGTCAAAAAAGTGATGAATCTGAAAATTTGGTTCATAATATATAAATAAGAGTGCTTGCTGTTTGTTCAGAAAATACTCTGCTGTAACTATTGTAAAAGGCCGTGAATATAAAATAATCAACCATGTGAAGTACAAGGTAGGAACGGAGATAGCAGTTATTACAACAGCATTACTGTGTGCTGCTATTATGCTTGGATGGGATATTATTGATAATGGCAATGACATGACATTTAAATTTGTCTAGAAGGCAGGATTAAAAGTCAAGAGACCTGGGTTTGTCCGCTAACTATGACTTTCAATCTATAGACCTTGGGCAAACCCTATGGATTCCAAGGGATTGTGGCCTGTGAATGCAAGGGAAGCTCTGCTTTATTGCTGGGAACCATGGCAAACCACCCTGAGTCTGTGACAAGTGATCCTGAAAAGTTTCTACACCCCGATAAGCCTCTCCACCGATGCAGCAATCCAAATCAGACCAAATCAAACCGAATTAGAAAAAGCCCATGTTTAATGGATACAATGTTCCCAGGTGGCCTTTCAGCCCACTAAAAAGGAGATGGGAAAGAGAGACTGGAAAACCTTGAGTCTGTTCTCTGGGGGACAGGTTAAAGACCCTGTGGGAGTGGTCTTGAGCATCTCTGGGGGAGGGGTGATCATTTGGTGGGCTTTCTGAGACACAGCAGGGTTAGGAGAGAGATAGGGAGGGAGACTTGGGTGGAACTTCCACCATAACATCCCAGACTCTTTGGGTATATGGATGCCAGGGGATGGGGTGAAACTTCCACCATAACAAATCCTTCAGAGACACCCAAGTGTGGTATTGTGACATACTATATGTCCCTCCAGAACAAACATGGTAGATCCCATTAGATCTCAAAGAAACCTAGGTCAAGTCTCACTCAGTATATTGGGTCCTAGAAGCACTTCTCACCCTCCCCCTACCCTAAACCTCTCCCTCCCAAAGGTTGGGCCTCAGCTTCCCTTCCCACCAGCAACTCTTCTCTATATAATTCAACCATTTTGGCTATTCACCCTCTTGGTCTCTTGGCTACTGGGTGGCTCTCCTCCATCTCTTCTCTCTCCCCACTCTCTCTCTCCTCTCCTAGTTCCATTCAGTCTGGACCCTTCCAGATGCCTCTGGCTGCGTTCTCCTTCATATTCACAGTAAACCTTCTTTCTTCTCAACCACATCTTCAAGCAGCCTTGGTGTCATTTTTCATTCAGATCTCAAATGTGGACATGAAGATATCCTTGGTCCTCATCTAACCACTGTTCAGACCCTTCATTCCCTTGTATAACTCTGCATCTCTTTTTTTTTTTTGGGGGGGGGCTGTTCTATAACTTTAGTATGCAGACCAGGCCAGCCTTGAATTTAGAGATACACCTGCCTCTCCTTTCCAAATGCTGGGATTAAAATGTATGCCACCATGCCTGGCTCCTTGCTGTAACTCTTAAATACATGCAGAAAAAGCCATGGCCATGACCAAAGCTCAAGTGGTCACTGGACAGCCTTTGAAGACCCACAGACTGGGTCACCATGAGAATGAACTGACCAAGGCAGGCAGCAAGAGGCACAGTGCACACTGAAACCTGTATTGATAGCATGCTGAAAACAACAACCAAAGCCCCTGGGGATGTCCCAGAAAGCAGTAAACTCTTCCTATGACCATTTATCATTGCATCAGAGACCAAGTTTTGGGGGG